CCCCCCCCCCCCCCCCCCCCCTCTCCTCACCCCTTAGTGTGCGGGCTACCTAGGTCTTCCATTGCTGCAACAGCCCAAATCCGGAAAACGAAAAGCACCATTAACAGTTTCAGAAGTAATCTGCAAAAACTTGTGACTACCGTAGGAAATTTCACCGTCCCACTCTCCTCCCCTTCCCCTGCCCCGCCCCTCCTCCCCCCTCGTGTCACCTCGCGCTCGAGGAGTCAACCCAAGATCCGCCTATGAACAGACTAACAACTAATAGCATAATTTGAAAATTTTACGAGTAACGAAAACTCCTAAAAGTGGAAACATTTTGTAACAAACACTGTCACTCTTACTTTTACGTATAACTGACTAATGCACGTTTTACTTAGATTTTGGACAGTTAAGCAAATATTATGCAGACAACGCCAATAAGACTGTACAAATAGCCACAAGTTACATCGATCGATATTGTCCTCTGCAAAAAGACCCACGCTTTCCGCTACAATCTATGCCAACCGAGAATAACCTCTTTCACTGCATTCCTTAAGTTGTTCTGAGAAACCAGAAGCGTTTCGCCAGGCGATGCCACGTTTTCTTCAATTTCCGTTATTCGTTTGCGCACTGCGTCCAGTGATGCTCGCGAAATGACGGCTTGTAATTCTGCTCCTGTGGACAAAAGCGCACACGAATGAGCCTGCAAACCGAAACAGTGCAATCAAATTTTCCACAGAGATCAACACAAAGAAACTGCTCTTGCTAGATGCTACTGCTGAGTGTATTTTGCCCTCTCTGCAGGGTAATGCAAAGGCAAAATGCATCTCCGGGACCTTTGTCTGGATATGATTCGTGACTGCAGTTCTTGTAAACATACTAACAATTTCTTCCAGGTTAACATCATCTGCAAAGTTGACATTTCGGCCAGCCGCACGAAGCACATGTTCACGCTCGCGCGCCTCCTTACATCTGCCCACTTCAATAATTATGTCAAATCTGTAAATAGAAAATAAAAAAAAAAAAAAACACGATTTACAAACAGAAGTGGAAAGATGATTTCCAGAACTGAACAGCAACCTTCCAGGTATGAGAAGCGACGGATCCAATAGGTCCGGCCGATTTGTAGCACCCAGCAAAAAAATTCTTACGTCATCAAGCGAATCTATTTCCGCAATGAGCTGCGACACAATCCTTAAAAAGTATAACAAAATCTTATTTTTCAGCAGAAGTTTTAATTGCAACGTAGAATAAATATCGCAGTTCAGTATGTCTTAAGCACAAAACAAAAAATACATCCATGTTTAAAACATGCCTGTCAACGACACCACCAGAATCAGCAAAACGGCCTCGACTGGGAGCAAGAGAATCAAGCTCATCGAAAAATATTACGCATGGTGATGCCATTCTAGCTCTTTCGAAAACTGGAATAGTCGAAAAAATGATGAACAAAGACAATGGTAAACGGGTAGCTCGCCTTCCACCTCAACTGGCACGGCAGAGAACTTTTTTAAAAGAGACATACGTAATTACTGAAAATAAAACTGAGAGCCGCTCATCAGAAGTAATGATTCAATGCATTTTTATGTTTTTTGCATCTATGCAATGCAGAAAACGCATATTGACGAGGGGTTGTCTGTACTTGTGTGTGTTTTTGTGTGTCTTTGCGTGCGCTGTGCATCTGTGCCGATTTTTCATCTCGAGACCTACAAAAGCTACAAGGCTCAAAACTTTGGGAACTTAATCTACATGCGCATTCGGGTCCCATCTCCAAAATGAGTGCTTTTACCCAC